TTTGTTGTCTTTCAAAAAGCTTTAGAGAGCTGCAGAATTTATCAATGGACCAGGATGGGCTATCAGTTGTACGTTGCAGGGAGTGGAGGATAAGGCTGAAGTAAGTTCATCCTGTTATTGCTCAGGGTTTAGATATGCTCTTCAATATGAATATCATAGTATGCTGTATTAGGAAGCTGGACGCTTTGCTGGCAGAGCGCTCATAGCTTCAATGCTGTTTTCCTGGCAATGTTTATCCTGTGTAATAAATATCCCTGCAAAACCATAGCAGTAAAAATGCAGCTTTGAAGTAGCTGAGCCCATCCATAGGACCGTCCTGGCAGGCTGGGGATCAGTCTTTCTAGACCTTTGCCAACACACCTATATGGCACAGACACCACCAGTATCTCACTACAAGTAATGCTGGGAAGAGTTTCTTCCGCTGTGCTGGGTTTTTGACTAAAGCTACATGTGGGTGGAAGTGACTTCTAGCCGTGTGTAAAAGTGTGCATCTTAATCCGAGTGAAACTTCTCTTCATTTTATTCAGTGAAATCAGGTATAAACATACAAGAATTATTCTACTGCTGTAGAGACCTCAGTGCAATAGTAGCGTTTAAAGGTGGCCTGAGAACCAGAAAGTGAACAAGAAGAGTTTAAATATTTTCAAAAAGAAATTGTTGAGTGCAAAGGATCAAGATAAACCTGGATTTTTAAAAACTAATGGCCTGTGTGTATATGTAAACTTGGAGCACACAGGTAAGCCTGTTTGCCAGTATGGACAGTTTGCCACTATATATTTTTGGGAGGAATCAGGACCTCCTATCAGAAAGGTGTTCGGTGTTTTTTTCCCCTCCCTGGTATCCGTATCAGTTTCAGTTGGCTTTTTCTCTTATGAGTTATTAATACTTGAGGTATGCAAACGCTGGGTATAGATGGGAGTGTAATAGTATCCAGAATTTTATGGTGTAGCTTATTGACTTAGGGGGAACTGCACTGACAAAGGCATTTTTTCTTCATGGAAAAGTCTTCATCTGGTTTAGGAACTTTTCTGGAAAACCTGTTTCTAGTGCAAACTCAGTGGGAAGTAACATTGATGAAAAACCACAGCGCTGCAATATCTCTTCAGGTGAGAGAGCTGATTACCCTGATTGAATTTTCCTTAGGGCTTTTGCAGTGGTTTCTTTTGTCTTCCCCCTGATTTATAGGTTTGGGGGAGAATAAGTGAGGCTTGGACATGCTTGGGAGGAGAGGGAGCTCCTGAGAAGTGGGTTTGTTGCATTCGGGGAGGAGAATCTATCTGAGGCTGCCCCAGGACATGTGATGGAGGGTGACTTAAAACCTAGGATGTATTTTCACAGCTGTTGTGGGAGCTTTTTCCATTTAACACAGCACATATGTGAATGATAAAATATAAATTGAAGATTAATGTACACCATCTTGGTGTGTGAGAGGCTCAGTTGTAGGCAGAGCAAGCAGAATAATGGAAAATACATTTGAGTGATTGTTCAGTTAATATAATTTGCAATGAATTATTCACAACCATTTTGTTCACCCAGCTCTTATTGTAATAATTTTCATTCCTTCATTTGCTATGCGTTTGAAACTGCTTCCCACAACTTGTGCTTGACGTGTAATAAAGTATACCCACGCATCCAGCCCCTTCTCCCCACCTCCCCCCACCTACATGCAAAGAAGGACAGACTTTAAAGAGCTCAGCATTTTAGGTACTGAGCTCTCTTCAAGAAGTTAATCATAAGTGTTAAAGTGGAGGCTGCTGCGGGCTGAACCTGCCGATGTGACCCATACAAGCCCATTCTGTTGGGCTTGGAGTGACCTCAGCTTGCAGAGGACCCATTTCCATGCTATACCTTGTGCATATGGGGAGGAATCTTCCTTTCACGAGTGGTGTGCTGAGGCTTAAGCCGTCAGAAAGTGATCAGCTGGCATCAAGTGATTAATCTGTGTCCTCGTGAGCTGAAGCATACGCTTCCTACCTGTATGGCATCACTCGTGCCTGGAGGCGGGAGGTGAAGGTGTTGGGCTTTGCAGCGAGGCGTGTGGCACCAGCAGGCTTGAAGAGAAGCACTTTGCTTGCTCAGGTCCCTGTCCCTTATGTTGTGCGTTAAGCAGCGGAGCGGGTTGGTGGCAGTGCCACAGCCCTGGAGCTGAGGGTCTGGCTTCCAGCACTGCAGAGTGTCGCAGTTGTGCCCTCCCTTTCCTATTCTTAAGGCACTGAAAAACCCAGAAATGCACACTTCTCTTGAAGTCCATCAGAAAGGAGGGCTTGTTCTTCCTGGCCACATGGGAGGGCAGGAGGTTTTCACCCAGGCCATTCTTGGATAGTGGGCATGGGGAGGATCCATGTCATCCCTCCAAGTCCCTCTGCAGGTCTGCCCACAGGGAGCGGGGGGTGATGAAGCTGCTCTTTGCCACCCCGTGCCTTGCCACTGGGGGTGGTGGGTAGGAATCGGGGCTGCGTTCTGCTGCGAGCTTGGTGGGACGCTGGGTAAATCCCCTCGCTTGTAAAAGGGGGCATATGTAATAGGAAATCACAGTTCTTGGAGACTCCTGCCTAGCTGTTGGGGTTTGTTGTTTGGAGCATGAGGAACACTGAAAGCAACATCCCTGTGACTTCAAAGACAAGAGCCAGGACTCGTTGCTGCCCAACCCTGTGCTCCCCTGCCGAACCCCAGGATGCAAACTTCAGCTTAGGACTAGTTGGAAAGGACTTCGATCTCTTCTTCAAGCCATGTTTGTCTGGACTCATTGGTACCACATCCATACCTAGCTTCATTACCTTTCTTTTACTTTCATTTACTTTTCTGTGCTCTTTTCTGGTGTCTTGTGGTTGTCAGTCTTTGGTGTGTGGGGAGATACTGGGAAATGTTTTGAGGGCTGTGGTGAGCCGGTCCCAAGGGCAGATGGGAGCCAAGGGGAGGTGCACTGCAAACATGAGGGCTGCTGCAAGGGATAATGGAGAATTCAAAGCTGCTTTAGGGTAAGATAAATCCTTCTCTGAATCTTAACCCTTCAAGGACTCTTACAAGCTCTGTCAAGCCGTGATCGCAGAGCCTTCAACACAAAACCCCATACTCCATAACAAGCTGGGACTTATGCTACTGCTTCTTCCCGTGGAGAGACAGCACTTGTAAGGTTAACCTGCCGGCATCTACTTGTCCAAATCTCCATAATCAGGAAAAACATGATTATGGAGCTGCGTGTCATTAGTACACAATGCTCTTAAATGACAGAGATTGAATTAAAACCCTAATGGCAGAGTATCCAAAGTAAATAAGAGACAACCAGATCCACTGGTGAATGATTTGCCTATCACTCAGCTTGGATTAGGAGAGCAGGACCTTGGGGCTGGCCAGAAACAGTAGAAGCACAGTTATTAAATTGGATATACTGGCTGGGGTTCAGCGCTCTTATTACTGTCAAGCATGCAAGTGTCGGGGGGTGTGAGCTGAGTGTAGGCGTGGGCTTCCTGCACTGGCCTTTGAGCTGGAAAAAGCTCAGACTCTTTGGACTCGCCGCGGTGGGGGATGAGTTTTGTTCTTTGTTGTATTCTGCTTTTTTGTAACAGTTTCATCGAGCAGGTGTCAATGCCTTGAAATTATTTCCAGCAAACGTAAATTCCAGCATTCATTTTGAATTGGGTGAAACAATCCTGTGATATAAAGTGTTTTATTTCACTTCTGTCCCGTTTTGCCTTCCTTTTTGATAATGTCAGACCTATGGCTTCCAAACAAAATTTCACTTTGGTTTCGATTTGCCTTTCTTGCGAGTGCATTTTTCCAGATCTTTTAAACAAAGCTTCATAAATCAACATTGATGTCATTGTGGACATGCTTTCCATGTTCTGCTTGGGATGCCAGAAGTGCTCTGTCCCCAGGGACAGCCCTGATGTACTGGGGAAGGAGATCCCTCTAACAGTGGGACAGCGATCGGGCAGAAGCAGAGGCTGCAGGATGCTTTGGGAGTGACCAGCCTTGCAGTCTTTTTGATTGACGGCTCTGAAGGTGGTTATTGCCCTTTTAGCTTTGTTATCGGTCCTTATTTGGCAGCTCTGGTTATGCTTAATGGTTGCATCTTTGCCAACAAATAAGATGAGACTTCAATACCTGTTGCTACGCTGGCCCCAGGGAGATGATTATGAACCTCTGGCTTGTGCCTGTGCTGTCAGTGACATCTGAGGTGGGAAAAGCATTAGGTAGTGAAATCTCTGGAGAAAAAGCAGGGAGTGAGCAAGTAAACAACAGAAGATGGGTATAGATCACCAAGATCCATCAGCAGTGTTGAATTTGAAGAGTTTCTGGTTTTGCTAATAATTCACTTCCTCTGCCAGCCTTATTGCTATTACCACGTGCAAGATCTGTACCTCAGAGCAAACTTTATCTTTTACCTAGGGGCTAATGGCTTTTCACGTGTTTCAGAAATTTGCATTTTAATGGAATAAATCTTATCCTTTCCCTCCAAAGCAGTAATAAAACAATAAAGCCTCTGGGAAGCCCCTGAACGTATGTGACTTCTTGTCCCAGATTGATAACTTCTTGAGGCAAGACCTTATCTGCCCCACAGTGAGATCTCTCTTACGGTTGTAACTCAGGACCCCAAAATCCCTGATTGCCTTTGAGCTCTCCCGGGCTGTAGTGTGCAGAGGTTCCACTCAGATGTTGCAAAGCACAAGATAAAAATGTAGATTGTTTTGGCACAACCATATGAAAAGAATAGCTGTAATAGTAAAGTCTCCTTTGGAAGGAAGTTGGGGGAAAATTGTATGCTGGTGCTCTCTGCTGGATAAAACCAAGAAGGCCTTTTTCTCACCGGCGCTGCAGTGACTGCAGGTTCATGCCAGTGTTGAGCTCTTGGCTGCGAGGTGTCCTGAAGCTCTGCCCGCACTGGGACACCCTGACGGTGCAGGTTGCCTTTGTCTTGAACTGGCCAGGGCTATCTGAGAGCAAGAGATGTGTTAGGATTACTGATCTGACTCCTTTCCTCCTGTCTCCTTCCCTTACAGTGTGTTACTTGCTGAAGAGCAACATCAGCCCGGACCTGTGCAATGAAGATGGATTAACTGCACTGCATCAGGTGAGGCGTGGGAGGAGGTCACAGCTCTCTGCCGCTCCGCACTGTCACATCTTCCCACTGCCCCCTGAGCAGACCTGCCAGGGAGAATGAAGAAAGCTCTTGTATTTCATTTTGTTGCTCAGTTAAAGCAGTGAAACTTCACCATGTTGTGCTGGCGATCTTGTTTCTTGGGGAGCAAACTGAGATCAAACCCTTCTGTTGCTGTATCCCAGACTTCGTTCAGTGATAATAAGAGCTCAGGAATTGGTGCTGGGTTTCAGACATGAACAACGTTTCTCTCACCCTTTAATCTTTGCAGGGCTGGGCTGTAAACTCTTAAAGCAGGTTAACTCAAATTTAGAGACTTTGGCAACCCACGGGTTTTGGAACTGGTTTAAATAAATGATTCGCAGGATGTTTGGAGGGCCTGCTGCTGCTCTCTGTAGGATCAGGGACTTCCAAAAGTCTGTATGAGATGGCAGCAGCTAATTGCCAGTAAAATACAGACTTGCCATAGTGGTGTGTAAGTCTGTGTCCTTCCTCAGAGCCTCTGCACTGATGCCATGAGGGGCTTTCTGTTCTTCTTCCTAAGGCCACCCTCCCCACCCCTCCTTGTGAGTCCTGATTTTCAGTGCGAAAGCATCAGGGAGTCAGCCTGCAGAAGGCCCGTGGGACTCGCAGTGCCTGGCAGCTGCCGCCTCCGCTGCCGCGGAACAGTGGCATGGTTGTCACGCTCGCCCCGAGGGCGGGACGGGGACTCGCGGCTTTCTCTCCATTAGTCCCTGCTGTAAATGCTCCCATTGACTTGGGATTTTGGATTCTTCTGCAAGTCGCTTGCTCTCTTCAAAGCTGGACGGATGTTTGCTTAAAAATGCAAACTGGCTTCTGGAAGTATAAAAGGTCCCCACCACCACCACCTCTCCAAAGAGATGTTAGTCTGCACACAGAGAAATGCTGACAGCCTCATTGCTTTCCCCACTAGGTGCTGAAGCCATGGTTAATCCCACCTTGCCCGCTGAAGGATCAGTTACTGTAAAGGTGCATTTGGGAGTTGAGGTGGGAACTTTGCAGCCACTAGAATTAATTGTATCCCTGAACAGAGGAAAGCTCCTGGGTGAACACTATTGCCCATTAGCAGTGGCTTCCAGTGAATGATGCAGTTACACTTCTGTGATAACTTGGCTGTGTGACAGCCGTGATTTTAACCTCACTTCCATATACAAATAGTAAACAGAAATAGAAATACGTAAAAGGTTCTTGTCACTCAGCTGCTAAAATGCTTGTTGTGGGGTGTCACTCAGCCCCATTACAAGCCCATACTGCAGTGCTGAGCTGTGAGTCTCCCATGTGGGTCTGCAGTAATGCGTAGACCACAAACAGGCTTCTTGCACAAGAATGAATCTTATTTTAGTGTCTTTATCACACACGCGTTCATGTCAAGAAGCGAGCATGAGGTGGATCAAAGAGCAAATTCCACCCTCCCCAAAGGAAAGCGGTTGAGGCCCTTCTTGCAGGCTGCCTCTGGGACTGTGGTTGGTGTAAGTGCATCGAGGATGCTGATTTTTTTTCAGATGAAAGGTGCCCTGTGAAGTACCTCATAATTCTGGGAATCCAACTTGCATTTCTTCAGATAACTGTGGTAGGTAGTGTGAGCTACTAGGAAGACTTTTACTCATCACATGCCAGTGTTTGGGATTTTCCCTAAGAAAAGGGAATGTCAGCTTGTCATCTCATCCCTTGGTATGTGGTTATACTGGTTACATTGAATTTCTGCTATGTTTGCTCTTGAATATGGAAGACCCAGTGGAACAGAAGCTGTGCACGTTTGCTTGTTGGCAAACACTGCAGGATAAAGTAGGTCTCCACGTCCAGGTACCCTGGTACAACTGAGCAGGTATGAGCCCTCATCTTCCCAAAGTTTAAAAAAAACCACCAATCTGTCTGCATCTCTTCCTCACCAGTGCTGCATAGACAACTATGAAGAGATAGTCAAGCTTCTCCTCAACCACGGGGCCAATGTCAACGCGAAAGACAACGAGCTGTGGACTCCGTTGCATGCAGCAGCTACATGTGGTCATATCAACCTGGTGAAGATCCTCATCCAGCAGTAGGTGGCTTTTTGTGTCTGTCCCTTTCTGCAGATCTGATTCTACCCACAGCTTCTGTGGATGGAAACCGAGACTGCTCAGTACCTTGCGAGATTGCAGCGGTGGTGATTATTCCCTGCTTTCAGGCTATTCATAGGACTCTTTCCTGCTTGGGGGAGAAGGGGGTGGAGGAGGAAGAGCAGAAAGGCTGAGGAGACACAGTAAAACCCTAGGTGACTTGACTCAGTTTCATGAAGCTTCTGAAAACCGGGCCAAAATTTGCCCCTTTTTGCCTGTATTCTGGTGTGTACGTGTCTGTGTTTGTGCTTGTTGAACCATGCTCGCTGGATGGGTAGAAATAGGAGCAGTCAGGAGGATCCACCCTGAAGCTCTTAAACACAACTTCAGGTCTTCCAGCCAAAGTCAGAGACACTGATGTAGGAGGACAGCAGCATGTTTGTATAGCTCAAATACTCGGGTGAACTTTGTGACCTGTCTTACTGGCTCTTAATTAGTAACCAGTTAGCTTCTTGTAATGCGTTTGTTCCCCAGCGGTGTGACACAGGGTGCTTGCAATGGACCTTCCACTTGGCTTTACCAAGGCCCTAAAGCTCAAGTCTTTTCTAGACTTGCCAGCGAGGAGGAGGAAGCCAGATGTGTTTTGAGCTGTACCATTTGCAGCATTTAATGAGCACCTGCTGTGAATCCTGTCTGGAGCAGATAGTCCCGACTCTGTAAGGAGCCCTCTCTTCCATTTCCTGGAGTGACGGTGTAGAGGGCAGAGCGTGCCTTGGGAGTGTTAACATGCTGCCTTGTGCAGCAGCGCCTGCTGCTTCTCCCTCGGGGAGGGAGACTTCTTCCTGTGATGCTGTCATCTGGGAGACTAGCATTGAAAATTCGGCCCTTCTTTGGCCGTATAATGAAGAAAGCGGAGCAGAGGATGCAAACAATCATCCCTTGGAGGACGTTCCCACGTGGGTTAGGAAATTTTTGGATGGGGGGCATAAAAATGGAGCAAACAGATGTAGAAAAATATAGTGCATTCCTGATTCTTAATTGAAGATAAGGGAGTGTCATGGGGATGGGTGGCAAGGTGAGCTTATGGCCCTAGTTGTCATAGACTGACCTGTTTTGAGTAGTTGCCAGCAAATTTGGACTCTAGTAGCCTAATGTCATGATCCCATGCTCAGAAACAGTCTTCCCCTGGACTTTTGAGGAATGGGGTGATTTAATTTGTTTGCTACGATCAAAGTTGTCCTTTGCAGGAGGTGTCACATATCAAATGACTGGTTAAACACTGCTTTTGAAGGCAGTGTTACTGGTGATGGGACCTGGAACCCTTGGAGACCATCAGAGGAAGTAGCCCACGAAAGATGTCCAGTTCCTTGCTTTTTTATTTGCTGATTAAACTAACGCTGCAACTACTCTGCAAATGTGAATTTCAATGTAGTTTGCTCTGCTCAGGCAGAGGAGAAAAAAATAAAGAAAGAAACAGGAATCTAAATGCAAGTGGTTACTGTCTGCTGTCCTTCCATGGCTGGTAACTGTTAAGGTAGATCAGAATTCAGCTGAAAGTATTCAACAGCTAGCTAAAATGGCACAGTTCAGAAGGTGCTGGAAATTTTCTATTATGTGGGAATATGGGGACAGTGATCAGTTTAGCTGGCAATTTTACTTTCAAATAGTGACCTCCCGGAGGTCACTAAAGGACTTAGAGAAGTGCTTTTGGACAATCAGAAGGGGAAATTCACCAGTTGACAGGATATTTTTTCATTACTGTTTTTTGCCAATGTGCCCTTGGCTAGATGGAAGGCTCCCTCCACCGTTCAGCCCCTATCTTTCCCAACTTTTCTGGTCCTTGCGAACTTTTCATTGAAGGACTGCCAGATGCCCAGATAACAAGCACTTGGTGGTTGCTTGGCGTTGTTATCCAGAAATTCAGCAAATAAATCACTTCTGTCATTGAGAAGCTGTCAGTCTGTCCAGTGCCAGGACCAGGAGAGGACAGGAAAGGCTCAGTGGCTCATGTGCCCCACAGCCCACGAAGAAGGCATAGCGTGCTGCCTTTCATCCACTTCTGGAATTCATCTTCCCCATTCATAGCTCCATGGCTTTGCTTCAAATCTTTCTTATCTCTCACAAATCTTGGTGACATTTGGGCAACTGTTAAACCCCAGTTAGTTTTTGCTAAGCGTTTATCCCAGTGTTTGGCACTGTCTGCTCTAGGATGTCTGAGGTCCTTTCTTGTGTAACGCTGCTTTCTCCTTGCAGTGGAGCAGACTTGCTGGCAGTGAATGCAGATGGCAACATGCCATACGACCTCTGTGAAGATGAGCCAACTCTGGATGTCATTGAGACTTGCATGGCCTATCAAGGTAAGGAGACTGAGTTCATGTAAAATACAGAAATGGGACAATGTAGTACTAAAAATTATCTTGTTTTTCAGCTCTTGATTTGCCTCTGGAGAAAAGCAGAGACCTGCTGCCTGGCATAATTTCTTGGAACCTGCCTCTGTCTAGTTTCTCTGACTCCTAAATAATGATGAGGGTGAAGGACAGGTGTCAGTCCCCTCAGCCACATAGCCTCTGAAAAAGATGTGAGGTCATATCAACCGGGAATTATTAAGTCTAATTTTACTCAACCAGTGGAAACAAAGACCCTTTCCAACTCTTCTCTCTCTAACTGGGATTTTAACAGGAATTACACAGGAAAGGATCAATGAGATGCGGGCTGCTCCAGAGCAGGTCATGATCTGTGACATTCATGACATACTTGCGACTGGACAAGACCTGAACAGGACTGATGCCCAAGGTGCTACGCTGGTGAGTGAAACTGCTGCGGCTTCACTTTTGCCTTCCTTCAGCCCGTAGGTTACAAAACCTGCCCTGTGGCAGGAGTTATGCAAAATCAACACCTACAAGTCACTGAGAGGAGTGAGGAAGCTATTTTGATCTTTTTCCCTGTTTTAGTTTATTGTCACGTAGGAACAGGCTCTGTCCATGAGTACAGCTGACATAGCGTCTATCCCTGCGCTTCTTGAAGCAAATCCCTTGTTCATGTGAGCTCTGTTGGTTGTCCAGCGGCTCAGGTCCTGCAGCAAGGCTGCTGAGCGTCTGGGTCCTGTCTAACAGTGGCTGGTACCAGCAGCTTCCAAAGAAAAGTGCAAGAAATCCCACAATGAGGAGTTGCAGAACATAGCACTTCTGCTGACCTCCGGGGAATTGGGACTGAACGACCTCCCAGTAATCTCTTGCTTCTCGCTAGTTTCATAGTCTGGTCTGACTCCCACGGAGGAGATGTGAGAGTCCTCTGGTTTTCATGGGAGCAGGATCTGGTGCTGGGCACTCCGGAGACTTTCTGCCGCCTCTTCTTTCTGCTTTGCATAGCAACTGGCTCATACAGAGTCGATGGAGTGCTGTGCTTATTCACGTATGTCCTAGTTTCAGCTGGGGTAGAGTTAATTTTCTTCCCAGTAGCTGGTACAGTGCTGTGTTTTGGATTTAGCATGAGAATAATGTGACAACACACCGATGGTTTAGTTGTTGCTGAGCAGTGCTTACACTAGTCAAGGACTTTTCAGCTTCTCATGCCCTGCCAGCGAGAAGCCAGGAGGGGGCACGGCCAGGACAGCTGACCCAAACTGGCCAAAGGGACATTCCATACCATGTGCCGTCATACTCAGTACATAAACTGGGGGAAGCTGGCCGGGGGGCAGCGACTGCTGCTCGGGGACTGGCTGGGCATCAGTCGGCAGGTGGTGAGCAATTGCATTGTGCATCACTATCACTTATTCTGTATATTCTTTTATCATTATTATTATTATTATTATTTTCCCTTCCTTTTCTGTCCTATTAAACTGTCTTTATCTCAACCCACAGATTTTACTTCTTTTTTTTTCCCCCGATTCTCTCCCCCATCCCACTGCGGGGGGGGAGTGAGCGAACGGCTGCATGGTGTTTAGCTGCCTGGCGGGTTAAACCACAACAACGTAGGATGGCATCTGCCCCTGGGCAGAGTGGAGCACCCAGGACAAATGTACAGCACAAAGCAAGCTGGCATCTGATTTGACTGGACAGGGACCGAGAAGGCTGAACAATCCTAGTCCTGTTCCCTTCTTTTTTCACCTGCAAACGTGTGTCTTAAACCCTTGCTTACAGCAGTCCCAACTTAGGGACGGTTCAGTAATGCTGTCATATGTGTTGGGACTTTCATACAACCTTGGTCATTTGATGCTTGGGCCCAGACATAACTGATATCCAGGCCACTTGGTGTCATTCGTTTGATGGCCAGACCATGGCAGTGCATTCAGGTTTCTTAGCCTAAATTGTCACCTAGAGCATGTACCAGAAACGAAAGGGGAGGGCAGGGTCCCTCCAAGATAAACTCGGATGACTGAAGCTTTTATTGCAGCTTATTTTTTTTAACACGTTTTTCCCTTTAACAAGGATTATATACATAAATTTAAGCAGACCTCTTGGCTTCCCTTTTTATATCACCCCCAAGTGATTACCTTGTTAATTCATATGGCCTCTAGAGGGTATGACCCTGTGCCATAATATTTATGTAGAAATTAATTGAATTGCCAGAAAGCATCGGAATTTATTTTCAGGTGAGGGTTTAACTTTGTGTGATGGAATCCACGTGGAAATTTTTGAAAAGAAGCTTTAATTCTCTTCAGCACAGCTGAAATAGGATGAGCTCTGAGTGGAGTTCATACCCTCAGAGTAGCACATAGGTCAATGGTTTGCTCAGAGATGCAACAGCAGACCATAATTTTGAAAATCTTCAGAGGCATGAAGTGTTGTGGGGGACTAAAGGAGACTATTATTGATGTCTCCAAAGCGATGGTTGTAGTTGGAAGCCAATATCTGAAAAATCATATTCCCTTAACTAAAAGTAGCCAAAAATTGAAATGGTTTTGATTTTCAAATGGTGAAAACAATTATAGCATGAGTAGAAGTGCAATTGCACGAAGGGAGTCCTGACTAAAGCAGGCTGAAAATTTGATCAAAAAAATCACATCCACAGCACTTAAGTGGGGAAGAGGAGACATTCTTCTGACATGAGGAATGCAGAGTTTACGGTGGATGATGTTCTCCATTG